TCCAATTTTAAAGACAAATAGAAAGCGAAGGAGATGAAATTGAAGAATTTTCCAGTGATAAAAACAACGAAGAGCATCTGGAGGATTTGAAGAGACAACCATGGATATCCGCGGCAGTGCATCCGTTCCCTCTTCCTTCTCAGTGGGGAGATCAAGTGGAGATGACGAAGATGCGACCGAAGTTCATGCTTGTTGTGTTGTCCACAGTATATGTTGCGTTTATATGTAGTATATATTTAGTATATGTTGGCATACGGCAATTTGCTTGTGAGAAAGAAAAAAAAAATGCAAACATTGATATCAAAACTGTAGAATAGACAATATATGATGAGTATATAGACAACATATTTTCAGTCTATAGACATTTTATGTTTTGTATATTAAAAGATTTTTATAGGTATATCTGATATGATTTGTTTCAATGTTTATTTGATGTTTATTCATAATTTATTTATCATGATGTTTTTCAACGTTCATCCATACTAATCTGAATATGTCGCTGCTTATACAGTGATTATAAAAAATTATACGAGTACATATTAAGTATATAACACGATTATGTGTTATGTATATGTGCATGAATGATATACTTACAGTATACCGGATTGCAACTCTATAGGTGTTTTTAATGATGTATATGTGATGTTTATATATTGTATTTTTCCCAACCTTAGTTCATCAAAATGGTTTGATTTCGACACATACAAAAAAAAAATTACATTAAACCAGAAAATATACTATAAATATACAAAAAACACGAGATGTAAATAACACAAAAAGTAAACAAAAACAAAGTTCTGAAAAAAAAATACCAGATTTCTTTTGTATATTTTACTGTCTTAGATCATCAAGATAAAATGATATTAATAATTAGTTTGAAATTCAAAATCTGTATTTTTTTAGCTTTGAATTGACTAAATATTAGGATATATACACTTATTAATCTTTTGGCCTTTTTTTTTTCTTAATGCGAACTCCTCATATGATTACATGTCATGCTCTTTTATGTATCTCAAATGAAGGACCCACACGTTAATTTGTTATGCGATATTTCAGTGTATTAATTGTTGTCATATTTATTTATTTATTTATTGTTTTAATGAACATCAGTTACGCAAAAAAAGGAACTGAAAGTCTGAATCTGTTTTGTTAAGGTACCATAAAATCTCGCTTAAAGATAATTAAGTCCCATTGATTTCGTTCAGATGCTAATATTTTCCCTTACTCGTACGTTTGCAATTAATTATATATCACATGGGAGACGTGTAAATTCGCCTATTATCTTTTGCTCCTTTTTCAAGCTCCCTTTCTTTTGGAAGGTGCACTTTTCCTTTACCTTTTCCTTTAGCCTATGTTTGGTTCGGGAGAAACGGAGGGGAGGGGAAGAGAGGGGAGGAAAATTTTTATTTTCCCTTTGTTTGGTTCAAGTTTTTGTAAGGGGGAGGAGTTTGAATTTTTCCTTCAATTCTCTCCTCCAAATGAAAATGTGTTCCCCTCCAAATAGTTGTATGATATAATTTACAAAAATTATTATAATATAATACATGTAAGTGTCATTCTAAAATATATAATAATATATTTATTTTTTTGTAAAAATGTATTTAATTTTAAAACACCTTTTTAATCTTAAAATATAACAATAATTTTTTGATCCCTTGGTGTTACCATTAAGCCATTTTGTTGCTGTGCTCTTTGGGATGTCTTCGTTTGGGCAATGCATTTCGTTGTGCTACCTATTTGTGGCTGAGGGGTTGGACATTCCATTAAATTATAAGTCTTTCTTGTATACTAATAATATCTTCCTACCAATGATCTCTTTAATTCCTCATTATTTTAATATTAATTTCCTATTATATTCGCTAGTGCTATCAATACAGTTTATCTGATTTCCTTGTCTTACCTAAGGGTACGTCTTGGTGGGATTTGACTTCAACTATACTATGTATTTACGGCTACGGGGTTGGACGGTCGATTATACTGTTATGGTTATGTATGTTCTAATATTTTCCTTAATTGTAATTTTAAAAATAGTTTGGCATCTTTGATGTGTCGTTACCAATGTTCTAGAAGTCGCTAGGCGTTCGACCAGGGCCTAGAGTACCTAGGCGGGGCCTAGAACTTAAGATTAAATATCTTATTTTTTATTTATTTTTTCTACTTACAAAATAAAATTATCTCAACTTATAATAAATAAATACATAAATAAACACATTTAAGTCCAAATAATGATATTAATATATTATAAAAAAACATGATAACAAAATAATGTAATTAGTATTTAAAAAATTAAAATAAAAATGAAAAAATTCTGTCTAGCCCACCTAGGAGAGCCTAGGTGGCGCCACCAAATCGTTTGGCCGCAGAGCCTGCCTAGGAGTGTCTAGGTTCGCTTAGCCATCTGATCGATTTTTTCAGCTGATTTATGTAAATTGGAGGCGGTCGGGCAGCGTCTAGACTGCCGCGTAGGCCGACTTTTAGAACATAGGTCGTTACTAACGTGACATGAAATTGAGTTTGAGTCCTAACTTTTGTGCTATGAATTGTAGATTTGGTTGCAAGCTATTCATTAGAGTTTAGAGTTTTCAATTCAACTATAATATTGTATTTGGCAAACCTGCAACCTTAAATTCTAGTCCTCTGTTTCACTCCTCTTGATCGAGCCTCAACCTTGTGAACTACTTCCTTATGATCATTTTAATCAACCAAAGAACGAGATGCAAATATATGACTACTTGTTTCAAAAAAAATGTATGTTTAATTATTCATCCCTAGTTCCTTTACTACCGCCAAAATCATAGAGGCAACAAAAAAACCAGATCATTTTCACAAAGGGACCAGAAAGACTTATGTCTCACCAATCAAAACAAACTTTTCATAGAACAAACTTGTCCCAAAAACATACTTGACTTGAAGAAATTAAACTAAAAAACTCAAAATAGAACATTGTTAACACTAGACACTAATTAACTAGCTAGATTTGAAGAATCAGCTCCAACTTTATGAGTGTGTATACTATAATAACAAACCCTCGTCGGCAGCTCGATTTCCTTCATTTCCTGCGTGACGAGATTGTACACCAAAACATTTCGATCGCTCGTGATATTAGTACTTAGGACCAAAACCTCCAAGTACTTAACCCACCCAACCGGTTTTACGGCCCCATCACAACTTTTTGACTCGAAATATTGTCTTTTCTGACCCTCCAACGAAAAATCTCCCATCTTTCTCCACGCGAACGTGTCAGGACTCATCTCCCAAACCTCCCACACAAACTCCCCACATTGTCGCAACAAAGACAAATACTTCCCGGTCGACAAATAAGTGTTCTGAAAGTCCTTTCTCGCCACATTATTATTAATATTATTAGGGCAATTAGGCCCGAAACTCTCCGTAAAAACCTCCGTCTCCAAATTCATGCTCAACACCTTCTCATCGTTTTTCGTGCACCAATGCATGAAACCTTCGGTAATCAAAACCGGACTCGTTTCGGACACGCGAGGCTCAAACGACACGACTCTCCACGAGCCTTCTCCTACGGAGAGTATATGAAACTCGTCCGCCTTCACGGCTTCGTGTTGATCGGGAGGAAAGCAGAGAACCACTTTATGCAATTTTCCCGCGGAAGAAAACCGAGCTTTCGCGGCTCCCCATAAAGCCATGCGTATCGTTTTCGGGCGGCCGGCGAAGTTCGGAGGGGGAAGGCAGAGCTTTTCACCCGTCGAGCGACGAGATAGGGTGACGTGGCGAAGACTCTCTTTCTCGGAGAAGGCTAAGCAAATGTCCGAGCTGGCAGTTCGGGCCGGGCTCGTGGGCCCGGGACTCGACTCGGATAACTCGACACGGCCGTCTCGCACGGAAATCGAGAAAGCGGATTGGTACGATTTGAAGAGGAGGGCGTACGAGTGGAGTGTACGGTGCTGCCTCGGGGCACGTGCTAGCAAGATTTTGGAGAGAAACATGTGTCTTGATTTAGGGTTTTGGTTTAGGATTTTCTTTTGGACATGTGCATAGCAAAACAACAAAGTATTATGATCATAAGATACACTAAAGTCTAAATAAATTAAATTTAGTTGTTGTTGCGATACAAATTGAGAGTTTATTACCTGAGTGGGGCCGCCGGAGACGGCGGAGGTGGAGGCGGAGGCGGAGGCGACGGGGATATATTTAGCGTGGCGGCTGGTGACGTTGTTTCGTGGACTGGGAGTGAGTAGGGAAAGTCAAAAGTCAAATATATATGTTGGGATTTAAAGGGGAAGAGCCCACGCCCACATAAGCAGAGAATAACGAAACTGGAGTCTTGTGATTTTGGTAATTTTGCGAGATCGATATATAAAATTGTTGGCAAAGTATTTAATAAAATTATGTTTAGTATTCTTTCATTTTCGGTTATAAAATTTTATTATTAATATCTTTTTTTCACTAATACATCATATTTAGTGTAATCATATGCTTTTTACTATTATTATATAATAGTATGCTAATATCAACTAATAACAATCCACACTAAATACTAAATAGTAATTACATAAGAATAAACAACAGCAAAAAACAATCCTAATGTAAAAAGTTTCCTTCAAGCTATTTATTTTAAGATTTTGTATTTTATATAACAATTTTCTTAAAAGAAAAACAGCTGAATAGTTTTAAACTTTAAATAACATAGTCAAATTACCACTATAAAATCTTATAAACAATTGATGTTGATAATAATAATGATGATATATTTTTTCAATTATTTTTTGATCATGATCCATCCAAATTATAAAAATTACATGATCCACAATTTTTTCAATCAATATAGCGATTTATATATACTTAAATATTTTATATTTACATTATTTTATTTTTACTAATGAACAAATATTAGAAATGTGATAGGTTCGTTTTCTATAATTTTAAAATTCACACAAATAACTTGTAATATTTTATTTATTTGTGCATATTTACATAATGATTACTAGTTTTGTTAAACTTTAGACACTGAGTCAAAAATCACATAATACGAGTGTATTGTAATATTGTTTGAGAGCATATTTATGCAAATGTTTTATTTAAGTTATAAATCATTTATTTTTGTTTTTTTTTTCACAAATTAGTTTTTTTTTTCAAAAAAAAAATCTCATCATCAATTCGGATCATTTATTAATATGTATATTTATGTAAAATCCTTTTGTATTTTTGTTCACACGCACAAATAAGTAAAACCCACATTGCATACCATCATTATTCCAATTATTTCAGTTTCGTATTGTGCATTAGCCAATTGAAATTTTTACGAAAAAAAAAAATAAAGTTAAGTGGTGGACAGAACAAAAAAAAAAAAAAGGAAAAAGGGGTGGAAATAAATAAAAAGGCCGTATTATGTGAATACGGTTTTTGCTAAATTTATTTGGAAATCGTATTCCGTGAATACGGTTTCCTTTGTAAAAAAAATATAAAAAACGTATTTAGTAAATACGTTTTTTGTTTAATTTATACAGAATACGTATTTTGTAAATACGTGTTTTTTATGTTGGTCTACTGCCTTTTTTTTTGTCCACTTATTATTTTTTTATTAATAAATATATAAATTGCCCTTAGCCAATTATTTCAACAAACCAAGACGAGCTCCTTAGCGAATATATCATTTAATTCTTTTTGCAATTTCAAAAGGACAATTGAATTGGCCATATTTGCAAACACAAAAAATTACATGACAAACTGGACGATTAAACGAGGAGTAAAATACATTTTTCGTCCTGTATGTTTATCCTTTTAAATATTTTAGTCCTCTTTGAATTATGCTTTTAATTTCCGTCTTGTATTTGAAAAAAGGTTACAAAAAGATAACTTTCACAACAAAAAGAACATTTATGTTTTGCAAAAAGGTGTTTCAATTTCATCCCTTATGTATGAAAATGACCTTTTTTAACATTTTTTTCAAACATAACGAAAACAAAAAATGCAATTTGAAGAGGACTAAATTGTTTGGAAGAGTAAACATATAGAACGAAAAATGCATTTTACTCTTAAACGAGTTAAGCCCTTGACTAGTTTTTTTATATATATACTTGTACTTGCTACATACAGTCGCTTATGATATTGAAGTAGTTGTTAAACAAGTTTAAGTACACAAATAAGGTTGTACCCAAAAAAAAAAAAAAAATTGTACGGAAAAAAAGTACACAAATAAGGTGATTACTATGAGTCCTGCTCACCTGCATACGGTGGACAGTGCCCACTAGTTTGTTTTATATGAAAAACGTATTCTCAGAATATGTTTTTCAATTAAATTTAATTGAAAAACGTATTCTCAAAATACGTTTTTCATATAAAACAAACTAGTAGGCATGCCCACCATGGGCAGAGAGATATAATTTGATTACTATATTGTTGGTTTAGTACAAGTGAGAGGTGAAACGTACCTCTCGCTTTTGAAATTCATCTTATTCCCCAATCAAAAGGTGCTACATACAGTTTCGCTTATGATATATTGTTGTTAAACACTGCATATTATCAATTTCTTGTTTCAACCAAAATAC